ACATAATGAAATATAACCAGGCATAAAGTTAAGTAACCAAAGAAGTAATATCATTACAAAAATCAATGACTTACCAAATGCATTTCTCATTGACATGCTCTATCAAAGAATAAGCAAAACCAGGGTAGAAGAGTCCTACTAAGTAGCAGTTCAAATGCACATTTACAAAAGCAAGAACCTGTCAATTGCATCATTATATGCTCTCGTTCTGTTCTATCCAACATATGAAACCAAGAAAGCAAGTCAACATGCTCACTTACATGATCTTGCATGGACTTCCCAATTCCAGCCAGGTTTTTGACCTGATCGACACTTTCAATCTTAAATGGCAACTTCTCAATGACTGGAATAGCCTTGTAATAGCTAAATGATCTCCTATCATCACCCAATGCTTTTGAAAAGAAAATAAAAACAATATGTCAGACTTATGGGAAGTTGGTTGGAAAATGACAAATAGTAGATACAAGTCTCACCCCTGTATATATTCATGAGTTTTCCAAATATCTCGGTGATGTTTCTGTTTAGATCAGGTGGATTGTATAGCAAGGCTGACTGCAAGCACGCTAATTAGCAATAAATTGAAGCATGAAATTATGAGATGACTTGAAGGATACACCACAAATGATAACTACCACGGTTACAAATGCAATGCTTATTGTCTATACTCTCTTGGCAAAAACTCAGTAGCAGTTACTAATTCTTACATTCTTATTTGGACTGCTGTCTGTAAGGCTTGGAGAATAAGGTGAGCCATCAGAACCTCTGGAAGTATTTGGTGATTCGTATGGAGGTTTACTTTCTCCACTGCTTTCTGTGAAACAACCTTTTACATCCTCAGGTGAGGGTCTAATCTTCTTAGAAGGTGATGGTTCTTCACTGGTAAGAGTGCTTCCCCTGGCTGGCTCAGAAACGGAAGACCAATCTATCGGATTCTCTCCCTCCAAATCCATCTTTATAACATATAAATCCTCTGAAGCTTTTTCCCCCAATCTCAGGCTATCCTCTAGCCATTGATAATTTAAAACACGCTGCAGCAAGCAGTAGACATGAATCATCAAGCTTTGAACAATCTTATAGCATAATAACAAACTTTTCTCAGAGTTAGCTATGTAGAAACATGAAAACTAGATCCCAGAAACCATAAATATAGACGAGAAACTTAGCTTATCCAGATATCCTTTTCACCTCTATGTTTTTCTGATACTAGCCACTTAAGAATATACCGCAAGATGCAGTCAGAAGCTTATATGTAAAGCTAATGCAAATAGAAACAGACAAAGTAAGGAACCATAGATGACAGGCCAACTCTTTTTGTTGCCTAACCAAGCATTTTCTAAAGTTGGACAAAAATTATTATTTGATTATTGGTTAGCATGTGCTCAACCTGAATTGTGTTAAGACATGGCAACTGACAATCAAAAGGTCATTTATATACCAAACTTAATGCACGATGTTCCTGCTACAAATTGAGACATAGTCATCAGTTACCTTACTAAATTGAACTATTGTAAATGGAAATGTGATTGGTTACAAAAAAAAAAAAAGTGAAAGAAAAGAATAAGGAAAGGAAAAAAAACAGAGATTGAGAACTCACTCCTTTAAAGCCAGACAAGTGTTCTCTGCTAACTTTCCCAAGAAGAGCACTTGAGTCCATAGCAAACACATGAGTCACGTTCTTTGACAAGCGCTGCTCAAATATAGCTCCCATTTGCACCAGCTTTTGCTTCCAAATCTTATTTCACACGCAAAAGAAAAAAAAAACAAGAGATTAATATGCTAAAATGGAAGTTAATATTTTCGAATATAAGACAAAAAATTGTAGAATACGCCAAAACATGCTATACTGGAACCGAGAAACGAGAAGATACAATAATGAAACCTGCAATCGACGTGACTTAACACCATCTTCGACCAAGAAAACGACCATTCCCTGGAATATTCCGTCTGGATCAGGAGACGGAGCTCGATTTCTGGTTGGCTTTCGCACCATTTTTCAATTTTTTGTTTTTCTTCTTCCGGGTGTTTCTCACTTTTTTTCCCTTAAAAAACGGAAAAAAAGAACTGAAAGCTTCACCGAGGAAACATAAATCCAGTACTACAGTTTCTACCCACTCTTTGGTACAACGACCTATTAAATGTCAAATGTGTCACTTTAGTTAACGTTGACTACGAACAAGTCAATGGAGTTTGACCGCATATGCCATATGTCAATTCGTTATAGGCTATTGTCCGAAGAGTAGATGGACTGTAGTATTGGATAGTACGTCACCGTTTTGTAACAAACGGTGGAAAAAATTGAGTCTTCTCGCTGCTTAAACCCTAAACCTCTATCTTCTCTATTGCAACTTTTGCAGCACAAGCTCAGTTATTTGAACATTTCATCATATTATTGAAAGGAAACATCCATCTCGAAATAAAAGCTAATGATTTTGCATCATTCTGCGTCGATTCTCCATTTTTACGGACTATCAGTATCATCGACACCTAAGCTCTCATCCTATTTTAAGCGCTCACTTTCAGTTCTTTCTAATTGTTCACCGTCCTCGTCTCCTAGATTTCGCTTTTTATGGCTCAATCAACCAAATGGGAAATGGATTCGGGGTTTCGTTACTAGTGCTGCTACTGTTGCAGCAGATGGAAAAGGAGGGGACACATTCTTCGCTGACGACACTGTTTCCTGGCGGTCTCTCGGTTTATCCGATAAAGTTTCCCGGGCTCTGTACAATTCTGGATTTGATCGACCATCTCTGGTTCAGGTGCTTTTGTTTCTAGCACTTTAGTGATTTTATGCATATTCTGCGACAGAAAATGGAGCATTTTCTTTGTTTATCTGAGATTTTCTTCGATTTAGTTTTCTTAATCATTTGGCATACTTTGTTTATCTGAGAATGATCAGTTATTTTCTTGATGTGTTTTTGCTTTTTCAAAAAATGGAAAGAAAAAGAGGAATCGAAAGGTCTAAAATTTAAGTTGATTTCTAATTGGAAATCATGGATGAGGGAGAATCTCGAAAAGAAACAGTATACTTGCATACTAATCATTGATCAGAAGCCCCACTCATCTCCACAAGAACTTCACTACTACAAGACTCCTGAAGTGAACCAAGCACTGGTTACTCCTTTTTTTCCGTCATATCAGCTTCTGGTTATTCTTATTTCATTTCTGATAATTTTGTTTCAGGCTGCTTGCATTCCATCCATACTTTCGGGGAAGGACGTGGTGATTGCAGCAGAAACTGGTAGTGGTAAAACACATGGCTACCTAGCTCCTGTAATTGATAAACTATGCTGCGCACTTAATGATTCAGGGAAAACTGATAATAATCAAGGATCGAATTCTCCCCATAGGCTTTCCCTTGTACTTTGCCCAAATGTGTTGCTCTGTGAACAAGTAGTCCAAATGGCTAATCGTCTCCTGGGTGATGATGGGGAACCACTTCTGAGAGTTACAAGTGTCTGTGGACGACAGGTACTGGTTCTCTGATTTGTCTAATTAATATTGTATGCATATCTTCGTGGAATGACTACTGTACATTTTGTTGAATGGGTTTCTTGCAGTTTGTCAGATGCAATTTGTAGGCACTGTACAACATTGTTTATTATGTCTTTTCTCATGTTAGCTTGTACCCAGAGCCCTTACATATTAGAAGCTTTGACTGCAGGGTTGGCCAGTTAATAAACCAGATATTATTGTATCCACCCCAGCTGCTCTTCTGAACAATATGGACTCTAAAAAACAGCGTCGCTTGGATTTTATTAGGGCTGTGAAATATGTAGTATGTACTTTTTCTTTGTCAAATAATTCATTTTTCCTTTGTGAGAAATTAACAAGTCTATAGTTGACTCGTCTTTAAAATAACTTGCAGGTCTTTGATGAAGCAGATATGCTTCTCTGTGGGAGCTTCCAGAATCAAGTTATTCGTCTGCTACACATGCTCCGTTTTGATGAAAAGCTATTGTCTCAAACGAATAGATCTAGGCTTGAAGATTCAACACAATTAAATTCCGATTCTCCTTCACATTCTGATTTGGACAATGAAGAAGACCTTCAAGATGATACCATCTCTGAAGGGGAGGAAATTTCTGATATTGACGCTAATGTTGACTCAACAATTGAAATCGAAACTGTCTCAGATAAAAGAAGAGACTGGAGGAGAGTGAGAAAGATTTATGAACGCAGTAAACAATACATTTTTGTTGCAGCCACCCTTCCTGTTAATGGAAAGAAGACTTCTGGGGCAGTTCTGAAACATATGTTTCCAGATGCAAATTGGGTTAGTGGAACCTATCTACATTGTCATAATCCCAGGTTACGTCCATTTATTCCCTTTTCATCTTGTTCTTTGGTAAATTTTATTATTTGTCTTTAAAGAAAAATCTTGTGTAGTAAATTTAACTGCCTTCAGGCTGATAATTTGCTTTATTAAGCTCATAAATCATCTTGGCAGCATCTTGTGTTATCTAAAATATGTGTTACTGATATCGAATTGATTTGACATCATAAAGACACCAAACAAGAATAATGTGCTTTAACTACCATAGCAGGTGAAGAGTTTGAAACTTTAGGACATGGTGGAACTTGTTTTCCCAATTCAAGCAGGTCCTAGGCTACATGTAGTCTTACCAAGAAATTGCTGTTGGTTTTGGTGCTCTTTAAACTTATCAATGTAGGATGGATCAAATTTGTCTTACATATGCATGGCTTTATACATGGTGCTGTACACATTTTCTCCCTCATTCTGAGAGATCTGTATTAGGTTAATTTAGTTTTTCTTGCATTTCAGGTTAAAGCAGAGGTGGATTGAAGTCACAGTTGACAGCCAGGTGGATGCACTCATAGAGGCTGTGAACCAGCATTTTGGACCTGGAGGGTTGGATCATGGCACTGATATAACTAGAACCATGGTGTTTGCTAACACTGTTGAGGCTGTTGAAGCTGTGGCTAATATATTGCAGAGAGCTGGGATTGAATGTTACAGATACCACAAAGATCAGTCATTGGAGGAGCGTGCTAGAACCTTAGCTGATTTCAAACAGAAAGGTGGAGTTCTGGTGTGCACCGATGCCGCTGCACGTGGTGTTGACATCCCTAATGTTTCACATGTTATTCAGGTGCTTTTTCTTTTTCCACATCAGCCTGGTATCTTGCCTCTTTTATTGGATGCATTTGTCAAATAAATGAAAATCCAACTGATGCTATTGCTTTGAAAAATGAAAAGATGGATTCATGCATTTGACATAAAATTTGCCACTACAGTTGCTGAAAGAGTGAGAACAGGTCACGAGATTATCTATGTGGTATATTGTGAACAAACATTTTCAAATATGATTAATTTAATGCAGAAAATTACTTTCAGGAATGTTGAATTCAGACTTCTAACTCCTACTGCCTAATTGCAATGTTTTCTTCTATAGGCCGACTTTGCAACTTCTGCTGTGGATTTCTTGCATAGGGTGGGTCGCACAGCTCGAGCTGGCCAATATGGACTTATCACTAGCTTGTACACACATTCTAATAGGGATCTAGTTGATGCAATTCATCAGGCTGCAAAACTGGGTCAACCTATGGTAATTCTTGGGATCTTTCAGTGTTATGTTGCAGAAATAATTTTGTTGTTTTGTCCTCTCTCCTCCAAACACTATAACATTTGGTTGGATGATTGGTGCTGCAAAATCTTTTAGCAAGTTATTATTCTGAAAGATGATTGGTCATGCATATTAGTCACAAAAAATTCCAAATACATTCCATACACTTCCAGTTTGCACCTTTTGCAGTTATAATTGGAATTAATAATTTGTTTATGGTTACAGGAAACAGCATTTAGTAGGAAAAGAAGCTTCCGAAATAAGCTTAAGAAGAGAGGTGAGAGCTTTGTTTGCCCTGCCAAATAATTTACTTTTACTGATCTAAATCCTCACAAGGCAGTAAGACAGGATCAAATGTGGCAAGTTAAAAAATTTGTTACTATTCTGATTGCTTGTCATTGAACATACTTATATATAATTATGCAGGTTCCGGCAAACTCAAGGATGCATCAAATGTTGAATTGACAATGGCGTAAGAGTGTTAGTATCTTGTCTGTCTTTTAGATTATCGCAATTTTTGTACGTAACTTAGTTGTACTTAATTCTTTATATCACATGGATTCTTCAGTTCATGCATTTTGTTGTGTAAAAGTTTTAAGTATATAAAATCTATTGATTAGTTTTTTTTTTTCTATCAATAAATCGAAAGGGATAGCTCCTGTATATTCACTGTGTAAATTTGTCGCGTACAACAACAGTGGTGGTCGAAAATGTAAGTAATGGTGGTTCAGTGTCGGTTCCATCATGTTTAGTGTTATATGTTTGAACATAAACTAAATGTCTGGAGGTTTATCCTGTGTTACACACCCTTTATAATTTTAACACTTAATTACGTAAGTTTTACGTTGTAATTAATTTAAAAAATTTGTATACAGTTATCATTTATTAAAAATAAAATTCTATTCATGTTTGAAGAATTTAAATAGATAATAATATATTTAGTTAATTAACAATTAATTTTTTATATTTAGATTTTTGAATAAAAAAGTTTTTAATTAATGGATGATTAAAATAATTAAATTGTTATTTTAAATAATGAAATAAAATTATTTCTAAAACTTGTAGAATTAACATCTATCAATTCTTAGTATTACTTTTATATATATGTATTAATGTTTGTTGAAAAATGAATGATAATAAAACTATAACATAAATTTAAAAAGAAAATTATTTTTAAACTCAATACTCTTTTCTAAAATTAAAAAATAATTGTAAAATATTATGTTAAAATTTTTATCCAGCTTACTGTATTTTTCATGTGTCCATGCCAGTGTTAATGGTCAAAAGAAAATTTAAAAAAATAATAATAATTTATATTTTTGAAAATAAAATTTATATATTTTAAAAATAAAATAAAATTTAAACTCACCCAGAGTGAAAGTATTATTAATAACCCATAGAAGGATGGTTGACATTTATTAAACCTTTCCATTCCCACGAGAAATCGTAAAATGATCAACAAATTCCTTAATGCTCATGTCGGAACTGCCTCCTTCACTACTTACTTCCTTAGCCAACTCGCTCCATTTCTTAGCATTCTGCTTAATCTCCTGGCTTCTCTCCCCTTGTACCAAGTCCTTCAAACATCTCACAATCTCTTCTCTCCTCACAACTCCCTCTGGATCCTCCTTCGCCCACACCCCTACCTTCCATACCTCCTCTATAAACTTGGCATCACAAAACTGGTCCGTCCATTGCGGCACACCCACCATGGGTACGCCCAAGCTAAGCCCTTCCAGAGTTGAGTTCCACCCACAGTGCGTCACGAAGCATCCCACTGCTTCATGAGCCAGCACCTCTAGTTGGTTGCACCATGGCACGATTAGACCCTTCTCCTTGCTTGACTCCAGGAACCCATCAGGCAATTTGGTTTTCTCTGTGTCTCGTACTACCCACAGGAAATTCAGCCTGCTCTCCTTCAACCCCTCCGCTATCTCTTCCATCTGCTTCTCCGACATTGCTCCCATGCTTCCAAAAGACACAAATGCTACTGACTCAGCTTCCTTTGTTTCTAGCCATTCCATACATTCTTTACTTAATGGCTTCCATAGACTCGACCCGTATCCTTTGTCTCCTTCGATCCCCCCATCTAGATACGCCAACGGGATCATCGGCCCGATCAACTTCGCTGAAAAAACCTTTGGTGTTTCTCTACCACCCTTTTCGACATTGGAAACTATTAGCAGTTATTTTGGAAAAGTTTCAGATTAAAGATCAGTATTCTGAATTCTTACCTCGGCTTCTTCTAATCCCTTAAAGCCGTTCACGAACGAACAGCAGGCCTTGTCAATGTTGGAAAACTGACTCATAAGCAGAGATAAATATGCAGGGTAAGCATGCAGATGGCGGGTGACAAACGTCGGCAAGTCATTGTAATTCAAGGGATGCAAGCCAGGGAGGAACAAAGGTGTATCTTCGGGCTTTATTGGGAGCTTAACTATGCCGCGTTGTACAGCACATAAGGCGGAGCAGACGGTGAGGGAGTTGGTGAAGAAGCAGGCTCCATATACGCCATGTTTCTCGGCCACATCAAGCCCCCACGGCAAAAATGAATCGTAGACGATGCAATTAACAGGGGAGTCTGAGTCGTGGTATTTGTGGATGATTTCAGAGAGAGTTCTGGAGCCATTGATCTTGAAAGACTCGATATAGAGCTCGGCATTTCCGGCTTGACGACTTCCGCTTTCGTCGAAGCCGTCGGAGATGGTTTCGACGGCAACGGTTGGGGCGAAAATGGCCTTGACTGTGTAGGGAGTGGTGGCTAGAGTGGCCTTGAGGCCTGTAGCAGCCAGACGCTTCGCGAATTGGAGGATAGGGTTCAGGTGGCCTTGGGCTGGATATGGCATCAGTACCACATGGCCCCTGCACTTCTTCTCCTCCATTGATGTATGCTCTGGCCTCTGGTAGCTAGTGGTGTGATCGAGGGGATGTCGTCTCTTTTATTATTGGAGTTGGTGGTTTGGTTTGTCCTTTATGAATTTTAAAATTATTTTTTTAAAATGGAATCGTATGTTATTCAGTGAAGTTTGGAAGTAAATTAAAATCAGAAAACAGATAAAAGAGCACTTGAACCAGCCAATTAATCCAGATATTCTAATTAAGATAATAAAATTTAATTATTGATAATAAAACGTATATTTTTTATTTTAAATTTTTATTTATATCACTTTGATTTGATTATTGTAATTATTAAAAATATATTTTTAATTTTTTAATTTTAAAATTTTAAAATTTTATTTTTGTTATTTTTTTATTAATCTACAATCAAAAATAACGAAAAAAAAATCGAAACTCGTCAAACCGATTTGATTTATTAAATTCATTGTACTTTTAAACTCGACCTAATTTCGAGTTGAATGTTCAAATTTATAAATTATAATTACAAGCTAAATTCAAATTTTATGAACTTATTTGATAATATTTTTTGTGTCAAATTGTCGTCAACTTCACACGGAGATTTCAACAATATCGTTTCTTGGAAAACACAATTTACAATAATTTTCTTTATCCATTTGTCGTTATAATTATCGATGTGATTATTGACAATTAAAATTAATTTAAATATAATAAGTTAAAATTAATTATTTTTACGTTTCATGTAAAAACAATTAGATGTGCAGGTAAATTTATTCAAATATTGTGTGACTTTAGAACCAAAAAAAAAAAAAAGAAGTGGAAAAATTTAACTTTGTTTTATCAATTCTATCACGTTTGGGTTAGGTACACCTAACTCTTATATAATATATACTCGTGCCTTCTTCATGTTTCATTTTGATTGCTTAAAAACTTTATAATATATACTTTTTTTTTTCTTTTAGTAGAAGTTATTATTATTATTATTATTATTATTTTTTACTATAAATTATCGACATTGTTGTCAATCGATATTTTATTTATGAAAATTTTAAAAAAATTAAAATAAACATGTGGTGGTTATAATTTACATAAAGTATTTTAAATATAGAGTCAATTTTATTATTTTAAATATAACTTATTTTTAATAAAAAAATAAACTAAATAGCGAGATAAGTAATTTCCTTTTCGTTTGGATGACGTCAGTTTACTCCATATCATTGGGCTTGGGCCCACTTACCTGAAGAAAGAAAAGGGAAAAGGGGAAAGGGAAAAGGAAATGTCCAAGTTAGTGTAGCCCATTGAGTATCTTTATATCTGAGGGTATAATTATCGTTTCTCTCAATTTTTAGGGTTTTACGAGTTCCAAAATGGCTCAGCAAAACTGAACAAGAAACAAGAATTCAGGTTCTAAATTCTCATTCCTGAACTGTACTTTCTGTTTTATTTAATTCCTGATAATGTATGAATTTTTATTGAATTTTAAAAACTAAACAAAGAGATCCTAAACTCATTTTCATTTTCCATGTTCATGCTTTTCTTTGCTTTGTTTCCATCACTGTTCTAGGAGTTGCAGAAACTCATTAATAAACTTATCAGAGCTCCCTCCTTGGCTCACAGCTTTAATGGCCAACTCCCTCCACTTAACTGCATTTTTCTTGATTTCATCGCTTCTCTCCCCTTCCATCACTTCCTTCAAGCACCTCATCACTTCTTCTTTCTTCACAACTCCATCATCCTCCTTCCCCCATACCCCTACTCCCCATATCTCCTCCACAAATTTAGCATTAGTTATCTGGTCACTCCACTGCGGCATACCCACCATTGGCACACCTAAGCACACCCCTTCCAGCGTCGAGTTCCACCCACAATGCGTCACGAAACACCCGATCGCTGGGTGCGCTAGAATCTCCAGCTGGTTGCACCACGACACTATTAGACCCTGTTCTTTTGTCGATTCCATGAACCCATCTGGCAACTTGGCTCGTTCAGATTCTCTGACAACCCAGAGGAAACGAAAGCCAATGGCTTTTAAGCCCCATGCTATCTCCTCCATCTGTTTTTGTGTCAATGACACCATGCTTCCGAATGAGACATACGCGACAGATCCAGGCTGTTTCTTGTCTACCCATTCTTTGCATTCTTCACTCAGCGGCTTCCAGAGACTAGACCCGTATACGGTGTCTCCTATGATTCTGCCGTCTAAGTAAGCTGATGGGACCATTGGACCTATCAACTTCGCTGGCCAGAGATCTGATATGCCCTTTGCCTCCTATCTCACACACACACACACATACATATAGCTCATGATAATCGGCGGTAAATAATGTATGTACGTGTGTGTGTGTGTGTGGTGTATATATGCATGTGGCAAAATAATTATACCTCGCGTTCTAATTCCTCAAAGCTGTTTACAAATATGCAATCCGCCTCGGTCAAATTGCTAAACTGATTCCTTTTCATGGCCAAGTACGCAGTGTCACTTTCCGGACTCGTGAGAAAAGTTGGCAAGTCACACAAATTTAAGGAACGTTGGCCACGAAGCAACAATGGCGTGTCTTCAAGCTTTACCGGCAGTTTAATCAGCCCGTAATGTATATGACAGTAAATAGAACAAACTGTAACAGAGTTGGTGAAGAAAGCGGCGCCATATATGCCATGTTGTTTGGCCACGTCAAGTGCCCAAGGAAAAAAAGAATCGTAGACGATGCAGCAAACTGGATCGTTTGTGTCTTGGAATTTCTTGACGAGCTCAGACAGGGTTCTGGACCCATTTGCCTTGAATGAGTTGAGGAAGGCCTCCACATTCCCGGATTGTGCATAGCCGCCTTGGTCGAACCCATCGGAGATTGGTTCGACCCCGACGTTGGCTGCACAAATGGAGTCGACAGTGTAATGGGTGGTGGCTAGGGTGACTTTCAAGCCCTTATGGGCTAAGCATTTGGCAAATTGAAGAAGAGGGTTAAGGTGGCCTTGCGATGGATATGGCAGCACTATTACATGGCGATTTTCCTTCTTTCTCTCCTCCATTTCTCTAATTCTCTTGCTCGATCTGTTTAATTTCTGATTGTTTGAATTTTGTGATTTCACTTCGTTTATTCTTATAATTGATCAACGTTGGTTGAGAGTAGCTAGCTTGTACGCGTTAAAGAAGTAATGTAATTAATATATACTAGCAAATTTGTAGATTCAATCTTTTTTCCCATAATTAGAAAGTTTTATCCAAGTTGGTAGATTTGAGAGTAACTTTCTTGCCTTCTTTTGAATTTTATGCTGCCAATGAAATTTGATTTGCAGTAATTTATTCTAATGGTAGGTTGTGATTTATTTTCAAGCTTTTATTGCTTGTAGATTTTGATTGTAAATTCTTTTAATGGATGTACATATACATATGCATATGTATATAGTGATTAGTTATCTAAATACGTTTGATCATGTGGTTAAGTAATTCTATGTTAGTACTGATTATTTATCTGTCAATGCGTGTTAGGTGACTTTTGGGTACATAAAAATCTTGGAAACTCATTAAAAGTTGTATAATAAATTAGCGTATGCATGATCACAAATATATATATACGTGTACGAGTGATGTCATAGAATGCGGTAATCCTAGATCGTCACATGTGTGATGAAATGAAAGGAAAATGTAAAAATACATTATTTAATTATAATTAATTTAATTTTACCTTTTTTATTTTATTTTGTTATGAAAATATTTGCATTTTATAAATTTATCTTAAATAATTGGACGTATGATAATGTCACTTGATAACGCTGAAACCATAACCCTAATATGAGATTGTCAATTTTTTCAATAATTAATTTAAAAAATTAAGTTTCTAATAACATAAAATTAATATTAGTTCATAAAATTAGTAATAAGAGTACTCCTTTGAATAGCGTTTCTTAATTCAATTATTGTTTCTTTGGAATCACCTTCTATTATGAATTTTCGAAAACCCAAAATTCTTTTAGCAATTATCAAAACGAATTTTACCATCAAATATTTATGAAAACATTTTTCTAACAAAATCCCAAGCTTTAACATGATCAATGAAAAACTTAATAAAGAAACAAAATTAGAGGAACTCAAGAGAAAGATCAATCTTCATACCCACTCTGCTGTAAAAATATAAACTTATAGTCATCTAATACCCGAAGACAGTAGAAAGCTTTCACACAGATTTTTTTATTAAAAAAAAAATTAGACATTAGGAAAATTCACTATACTTGCTTTCAATATAAATATAATAAAATTATTCAAAAAATTATAGTATTCAATATATTTACAAAAAATAAAAATAAATACTCAGATTTTTATTTAAAAAATTAATAGTGTTAGTTAATAAATAAGACAATATATATGGAAACAAAAAATATATTATTGTATATGTGAAGGAGTAATCGAGAACAAAGGACCCTTTCTTCCGTCTGTTGCGCCGCTTAATTTAGAGTCAAGCAAAGTTTTGACAAGGTTCTTGTTAGATATTTCCTACTGGGTTCCTGTCGGGTTCTACAAACCTGAAAAAATTAGATGACTAAAGTATTGCTTTCGGCAATTCATTACCACCATTTGTTTCCTTCCTTTTTGCTTCTATTTTCCACATCACGCCGTCCTACAATACTCAGACGAGGGGAAAAAGACCATGACTATGGGATCATGAGTATACAATCTTGTGAGGGATTTACAGAGGAAAACGATAGAAAGTGTCTCATCAAGCAAAGGGATTTGGAATTTACAATGGAACTCGAGAGAAACCATGTTTCTATCATTTAATAATAATGATTTCATAATAATTTAGCAACTTTGTATAAACATCACTGAATGTTAACATAACAATTATTATACAATTTTAACTAATTACTGCTGACTGAATTCAGATAACATATTAGAAAGTTACACCAAAATAATGTTAGCATCACATCTCCGAGGCATCCTAAGTTTTTCATTCTATATATCCAACCTTCAAAAAGAACCCATAACCAAAGCCTCGTGAATACCCATACCATTCAGCTCCCCTCCACTCCTCAAACATTAGTACCAAGAAATATTTTGCCCCACGAAGTGGGTATCCGCTCCAAGAAGCAAGTTTAACAACAATCCAAAAAGCCGGGTTCACCGCATAAGAGACCCACAAAGACAATCCATGAATTCCATGTCTTATCATCTCCCAATCCAGTTCTTAAGTTTCTTGGGCCATCCAAGAATTGTGGCTATATTTGTCTTATATTTTCTCACAGTATCTACTTTACTCATGCAATCTTCACTTTTCTATTTAATTTCCCAAAAATCTCGCTTCTACCAAATGCACCAATTATAGCATTATTAAATAGTAAAAGCTACATTAGTTTTACCTAAAATAATAAGCTCCTAATGGGTCTGATACCAATATTAACATCTGCCTACGTGGCAGGCTAATGTTCCCAACTTCAGGAAGATATGAGAAGTGTAGGATCAGTTAGTTTAAGCATATAATTCAGGGTATCATCAAAGCCTACCTATGTCAAATAGATCATAGCATCATGACACCACATACTGATTCAATAAACTCCAACTGTAGATTGCCAGCTGAAAATTCAGGAAGCAGAAAAGCTATTTTGGCTTGAAAAGCCAAATAAAAGAGAACAAAACTTATATGTTTATTGTTGACGGAGCTAAAGTCAGTATAAACAGCAGTTGCTCTTCCTCAATATGTGGATGCCGGTATAAGCTCAAAAATTATAACTTATAGTTGGAGCTCTTACCAAAATTTTGCCGGAAGAATATTCACAAAAGAATGATCCTTACTAAGATACTACCTTAAACTACTACTTGTCCTCTGTAAGCTGAACTCTCCTAGAAAAAAATGCTGACTTCTTTCTCACTCATCTCAAATACATGATCTCTTGCATCTGTCAATGCGCTCTGCATCATCCAATAATTAATCAGCATAGATGATCACTACAAATATAAAGAAAACAAGCAATGGTAAATGTTACCTGTCCAAATTTTGTTAGGAAGTTGTTGGCAAGATTCATTGATGTAATAGTAACATCTTCATTTGCCTTAAGGGCTTGAGCAATGGAAAAAGCTCCATCATCCTGAATATAGAGGTAAAATATGAAACAAAACAAAAAAATGTACAACCAATTTTTTTGCAAGAGAAGATAACTTATTTACCCTTATTTCATTGAATCCTAAGTCAATTGATGTTAAAGCTTCATTCACCACTTTCAAGCTGCGAGCCAAACAGACTGCACCCTGCAAATAATATATCCATAAATGAGACAGATATAGCTAAAATGGCTGCCAAAAACAACAATCTGGCATCTTAATCAGTTATGTTGCAACTTCATCTCTAAGTCCATTTGCCCGCAAGTCCAGAACTGATATGGTATTATTGTACTTCAAGGTATCAGCAATTGCTTCTGCACCCTCTGGCCCTATCTGCAAACAATTTTCATATCACATTATCTAAAAACGAAAACATCAAGACAATTTACAGGAGTTGATATTAACAGCTTACCTGACACCATCCAAGTTTAAGGGTTTTTATATTTCCATGAAACTTAAGAACTTCAGATATCGCCTTTGCTCCATCAGGTCCAATGGGATTATAACCAAGTTCCAACTGTGTGAGAGAGAGAGAGAGAGAGAGAGAGGAGAACTTTACCATTACATCCAAATTCAGATCAACATGGGAAAGAGGAGAGAGAAAAAGATCAATTTGATTGCAACAAACTCACAGTTGTAATAACATTTATTATCTTTTAGAGCTTGAGCTATAGCACTGACTCCCTCAGCATGGATGTTATTTCCACCCTGTACCATTAACACTGGTTAGTATCCTTAAAAGTGTGGTTTCTTTAAGGCCTTTATAATCACTTCAACAAATTACATCAGATATAATATACACGCTTCTCCTCTCACCAGGTCTATTGTTGTTATGGATCGATTTTGCTTCAAAGCATCAGCAATTTTTTCAGCTCCCTGACAAATTACTGAAATTGTCAACAAAGCAGGGAGATCCAAAAGCAAGCCATTTTAACATCCTGAAAATTAAACTAAATACTAATTTGACAAAAACAGAGAGGAGAACAAGCATATGAGCATTCTAACCATCTTCCATGCCATCCAAATTATAAGTACAGAATATGGCATTTGATTTTGTCGCTTTGATTTACAACTGAGATCATAGAAGAGTTCTCTTAACTATGCCAGAAGCAAATCAATGGTATATAGAACTGAAGGGGAGATTTCATTAATCAGTTTGAAATATTGATACCTCATCGCTAATGTCATTCATGTAAAGATTCAACCAAAGCAAGCTCTTGCTCTTCTTGATATACTCAGCAACATGAAAAGCACCCTTTGCACTAATCGAATTGTTGCCAATATCTAGAAGACTAAGTTTCCCTAATGGACAAATTGCACGTTAGGCTAACTGCAAAACTGGTGCACAAAGCAAAAGAACTTGACAACTAGTAATCAACATGGCAAAAGAAATACCTTTATGCGACGCTAAGCCTGACATCAAAGCCCGGACTCCTTCATCTCCAATAGAGTTTCCATGTAGATGAAGTTCCTGAATGCATCATTCAACTGCAAATCTTATTCATCTCTCAAAACCAAATGCCTTGCTTTCATGTCAAGATGTTTAGATCAATGTTCAGCAGATTGTGCTAGCTTATTCCATGTTCACAATGGCCAGCATTTTTTAGTTATTGATAAATGGAACAGTACAGTGTTATAAGGTTCATCGCCACTGTGTAATGGAAGAAAAAGCTAATGAAGAATAATCGAAAATTATACATGTATATTACGAAAACAAGAATTATGCCACCTTCATTTTGATGAAAAAATACAGAAGTATATTAGATTTCAGTTATTAAATTTCATTACCTTATCAAACGAACTTGACCATAATATGTTATCTTCTCTTGAAATTCAATGAAATAAATGAAACAGATAATATAAACAAATGATAATATAAATCTTATTTCATTGAAATCAGCTAACTGATTGACTTTTACTTAGAGATGTATTTAGGCATCATGTGTCCAGATAATATAATTTTTGAAAAAGCTACTAATGAATAATCATCAGTCTTGTAGCAGATCTTCCTAAACGAGGAAAGAAAAAGAAATGAAATGAATAGGAAATATACCCGCAAAGACTTGTTCCCTTCAAGGCCTTTTGAGAAAGCATTAGCTCCCAAAGGACCACCATAGTTGCCACTTGAACAACAAAAAAATATTAGACAAACTTCCAGATTAATTGATTCCAGAAAAGCATAAGAAAAGTTTTATACAGAAACTGTTGCAGGAAGAAAGATGCACCCAGCCAATTAACACAGATGAACTACATACTATGTCAAAAATTACTATATACAAATATACATATATATATATATGTACACACATAAACGTTATAACCTGTCCTCCATCAAACTCTTTCAGTCCTCCACCACCCAAAAGGAAAAAGGAAAATGTAAAGAGTTTAACTCACTTAAGATGCATACTGCGTATAGTATTATTCTCCAGAAGTGCTCCAGCTAAACTTGTAAATCCCTACTTCCATTTCAAAAGTTAAATATAAACAGGATCAGTTTCAAATTTTGGCCAATTCAATTCACAGGAAATCTGAAGACAAGGACATACAGAATACTCAATCATATTGTTATTTAGTTCAAGAACTCGCAAGCTTGAATTTTTCTTCAATAACTCTGCAACAGCCTTTGCACCCTGCATATAAAAGTGAACTTCAGACATATCATCAACTACAGAAAGGTGCTCCAGCCTTCAAGAGGCACACAAATCTATGGTCACATTTATTAGTTTAATATCTTCAAAGTGGTAAAAAATGACTTCATTAAAAGTAGAGACAGATGGTTATATCTTTTTGGATCTTTAATTTTGGGCAGGAAGTGTATAGGGTGGATGATTTTGGGTATATTATTGATTGGTTAACTAATATGTAATACCTTTGTATGTGGATTACACCCCCTTGGTGCCTTGTGAATATACACTTTCTTTTCATCTAAAAAAAATAGTTTTAATATAAAATATGAACTTTATTTCAAATATATATATATAAAATATGAACTTACCTCATCACCTAAATCAGTACTGTTCAGCTGCAGCTTTTCAATGCCAGCATTGCCCACCAATATGTCACACAAGCACTGTCAACATAAAATAGTTCTCCAGCACATAAACTTGACTGAACAAAAAAATTATAAAGAATAAACATTGAAAGAAGAAATAAATCAACAAGGAAAACAGAGGCAGTCCCAAAATCTTATGCAGCCAGTATATCATGGACATGCTCAAACCACATTGATTTAGTTTGAGCTCTTCCCTGCTTAAGGGAGCACTTCTCGTCTTTCAGTATCATTATAGCCTATATTTTAATTTATGAGTTACAAAATCACAGGTGATAAAAAAACAAAGCTAAAAAACCTCACAAAACGAGTCAATAGGACAAATACACAAAATCACAGGTGATAAAAAAACAAAGCTAAAAAACCTCACAAACGAGTCAATAGGACAAATACAGTGTACATCTTAGTAATTATACTTGAAGCATCCCTCTGTAGGTCATAACTGAAAAAAAAACAAGAAGTTCCTCACCAAAACAGACTTACAGGTTAAACCTTGCTATTCAAATAATAAAAAAACTATTAGTAACTCTCTGACATGCTGTTCTCAATTCAATATCGACAATAAATTACCAGAAAGGAAAAATATTACAGAATTTCAGTTGTTAGGACATAAGAAGGTTTACATACTAAATATGCATGTAGCTGTATGAAATATGTTGTTTGAATGTAACATAAATTTGTTTTCTTTAATAAAAATACAATGGCAGAGTTGTGCTAACCTTCGCTCCTTCATCTCCAATAGGGTTTCCAGAAAGATTGAGAGTCTTTAGAACAAAATTTGATTGAAGAACACCATCAAAAGCTCTCAAACCTGCCCCAGTAATTCCATTTGCAGCAAAACTTACCTCCTCTAATGTCTAAAATATAAAAGAGAGATATTAAGTAAACTCAAAAAGGACATCTACACCCAGCTCCCTGGATACAAGTATTTTAAGATGGCATGCTATATATCATTCTGGACAATATGAGAAAAAACTTCAGCAATATTTTGTTCTTTTCTTTCCTTTAACAAGTAGTTTAATCATGATATAACCATGTAGGTCATCTTAAATGTCACAGAGTGGATATACACAAGTAAAGAACTCTTCACCTGGTTATATCCTAAGCTCTCCGCAAGGAAAAACAATCCTTCATCTCCAAAATTGCATCCTGCCAAGATTTTGTTGTAAGATCAATGCATTCTGCAATTTATACTCAGGGAGGTACAGGCCGCCTTGAAATTTTAATCAAATCTTGCCAAAAGAAATAAGACAACGAAGAAAGAGTGATGGAGCAGAGCAATATAAAGAAGAGGCTTTTGTAGACTGCCTTAGAGAAACAAACTTTGCAAGACCCTAAAATCGATGACTTTCATATCTAGACTGAGT